ATATGAAATTTTAATTATGCATTTACACATTTTTTTATGATAAAAAAAATGTCAAAATTATCCTCATTAAAAGGTAGAATGTAATTATGATAGATCATTTAAGTATTTTTGAATTATCATAATTTTTTAATTTAAAAATATTTTTTTAGATAAATTAAAATATTTTAAAAAAATACACGTGAAACAAAGGGAATAAAAATATATTTACATGAAGAGTATTTTATTTTCAGACGAAGTTGGTGATGGTGGAAGAGGGATATATAAATGCAGATATATAGGTAACTGTACTGTGTTGATTAAACCGCAACAACGCGAAATATAAAACTTTTAATAATTAAAAGTACATTTGTCGTTTATGGGAAATGTTTAACTTGCAAAATTTAAAATAAAAAGATAAAAGAATAATGTAATATAAATATTTATCAAAAGAAAGAGAAATGTAATGTTAGTTGTTGTAGAATAATAGTCAAAAGAGATGATAAAAGAGAACACAAAGTATGACTTTGATATATTGAACTGACTCAAACAATAATATTGCAAGAGTATTTATACAACAGTTAAACTAAACTAAATATGGTTTGTTATCTATTTCAACTTAGCTAACATACTATATCTATTATTACATATAGATGACTTAATATCCCTTTTATCCCCTTTCAAACTCAATGTGAATTGTTTATCAATAGTGAGTTTGTCCCTGAGCTCTAGAAAAATTGCAGAACTTGGAGACTTAGTTAGAAGATCTGCTACTTGAAATCGTGTTGGAATATGACGAACTTGAATTTGTCCCCGAGCCACTCTCTCTCACAAACCATAAGTCTAATTCAAAATGTTTGGTTCTAGTATGCATAACTGGATTGGCAGAGAGAAGAACAACCCCTTGATTGTCGCACCAGATCAAAAGGAGATTGCTTACTCCAAATATGAAGTTCTAAGAGGAGATTCTGAATAAATTGAATTTCTGCAACCAGACTTGCCAGACTTCTGAATTCTGCCTCTATGCTAGATCTAGAAACCACTCTTTGCTTCTTTGCCATCCAAGAGACAATATTGGAGCCAAGATACACACAATTCCCAGAAGTTGACCTCATGTCTTCGTGATCACTTGCCCAATCCAAGTCACAGTAAGCAAAAATGTCAACATCAGTGGACTCTTATAGTGTAAGCCATGTTGAGAAGTACCTTTAAGATATCTTAGTAGCCTCTTTGTTGCTTTCCAATGAACCTCAAGAGGACGATGCATGAACTGACTCAACTTATTTACTGTGTAAGCAATGTCTGGCCGAGTAATAGTAAGATATTGAAGGGCTCCAATTACTGACCTATAAAGACTAGGGTCCTGACAATTGCGGTGCCATCATTGACAACATTTGAAGAAGGCGCCATTGGGGTTTTGATAGACTTGGCATTTTGATAGACTTGGCATTAAACATGTTGAGTTTGTCAAGTAGATCAATTAGATACTTGGTTTGAGAAAGATGAATGCCACTTTCATTATTGGAACTGACTTCTATGCCTAGGAAATAATGAAGTTTGCCCAAATCTTTTAAAGGAAAAGATTAATGAAGAGTCTGAACCAGGTTTTGGATGGCTACAAAAGAGTTACTAGTGATGATTATATCATCAACATATATAAGAACGTATATGACATTGGTTCTGGAAGTAAAAATAAACAGAGAGTGATCTGACCGAGCCTTTTGAAACCCCAGTCGGAGTAAATTGATAGTAAATTTCTAAAACCAAGCGCGTGGAGCTTGTTTGAGTCCATAGATTGCTTTTCTTAATTTTCAAACAATATTTAAACTTCCTTTATGAAATCCCTGTGGGTGTTGCATGTATATTATTTATTACCAAGGCAACTACAAAACATGCCAGTGTAAGCAACGATATAAATAAGCCTTTGATGTTAAAATATTCAAGCTAAACTTCTCATGCTTTAGCCATTTTCAAAGCATCAAAGCAGTTGGTATAAATTAAAAATGTCACGGGAATTGGAGAATGCAACAATCAACAAGGCTCCAACCCATCAAAATGAACGAATCCAACTAAATCACTTGAATTTATAGACAAGGTTAACACAAGTGCTTGAATTGGAGAAATTTGTACTCATGATGAGCTAATCATATGATAACCACGCGAAGAAATTTGGAGGCCTTGAGAGCAGTTTCTGATGAGAAATGGCAATTGTTTATGAGGTAGGAAACGGGGAATTCATGGTGTTGTTGTGAAGAAATCGAGATGGGCTTCGGAAAGTGTTTGTGTTGATGGGAAAGGACGAGGTTTAGGGGTTTGAGGCAATGTTCTTGTGACTGTGACTGACATGGCAAAATATCCACTAAGACAATTAAAGTTAATGTCTAGAGCTCCCAAATTTATAAGGCCTCTAAATTCTTTTAATAATAATATTATTAATATAAATTAATTTTTAAAAATTTAATAATATTTAAAATAAGGCTCAATATTTTATAAGACACATATCTTACATTTTTTATATCTTTTATTTTTTTATTAAAATTACTTAAAAGACCATAACCCATTTATTAGTTTTTGTAAATGAAAAGTCACTCAACACTTAACAGTCACTACTACTTACTTTTGTGTTTTACAAGTGACAGATTTTCAAACTCTTTATTTCCTCTCTAGTTTATCTCTTTATCATCCTCTCTCCATTCTCATTCAGTCATTCTCAATTCCTTTTTCTCGTCTAATTTAAGAGTTTGATAGGGAATAATACGATCTCACTCTGCCTTTTTTCTTGGTTGATTCATACTTTATAAGATCCTTTAAACTACTAAGTTAGTATAATTTTGGGTTCTGCTGGTTCAATAACATCAACAAATTTTCTTAGTTATCACCATTGACAATCCATTATAATGCACTTCTTGCGTGACATTGCATTGTGAATTTGTCATGGATCATCCCGAGGAACATTACCACATATTCCCTTTTATTGAAATTGAAGTTTGTCATCATGACAAGATTTCTTCTTTCCATGGTTTCCTGCGTGTCTTTGAAAAAACTAGGATCACACTCTTCTAAAATATTGTAAATTTATTATTAATTCATGTGAAAAAATAATTTAGTGCAATACTTTTATTTACAAATTACAATTTTTAGATCTCATTTTTTTTATTGTTTATCATTGTAGGTGTATGCAAAGTGACTATCACTACGGTTTGGATTTTGGATACTCATAGCTATGACAGTGCATAGCTATAGCTTAAAAAAAATTTCATTCACAAATATAATTTTTCACTTTCCAAGTTTCATTGTTATCTTCTTTTAATTTTAAAAATTATTTTTTTTATTATTTTATTTTAGCCAATCAGTAAAATATGTCAAATAAAAAGTATGTATCTAGTTTTGAAAAGATTTTCAGTTTTGAGGATCATTCTGATATTGATGGTCTTGATTTGTTTTCAGAATTAAAGTTAATGAAAGAAATTCTAACAAATAAAATTACCATACCATTACAAATATTGAACTATATAAAAAGATCATGTTCTTTTCCAAATACATATATTGTTTATAGAATATTATTAATATTACTTGTAACTGTTACGACTAATGAAAGAAGTCTTTCAAAATTAAAATTGATTAAATCATATTTAAGATCAATTATGCTATAAGATAAATTGAATGTATTAGCTATATTATCTATTGAGAGTGAGAAGTTAGAATTACTTAATTATAAAATTTTAATAAATAATTTTACAGCTCAAAAAACCAGAAAAATAACATAAAAATTATTAGACTATATTAACATAGGCCCTATCTTATATTTTGTCTAAGGCCCTAGAATTTCTAGATACAGCCATGGTGAGTGACTTCAGATAGAGAGAGGGTCTCAAGCGTTGGCAACGAAACATCTCAGCAATGTTCCTTAGAAGACATATTCAAAACCCTAACATAACATATAAGTCATTTCTTATAATTTTTATAGATATAATAAACATCGCATATGCATTGCAAGAGTAAATACTAGTTAATAATTACACCTATTATATTCATTGTTTACCCAAAAAAAACACGTGTTACGATGCACTAACGCAGCTGCATTTCACTTTCGGAATGGGTCATTCTGAAATCAGAACGGGCCGTTCTAGATGAAACAATAAGACATAAATAATGGATCAAAACGGGTCGTTCCAGATGAAAAAAAAACGCATGAAGAATGGATCAGAACGGCCCGTTCCAAAATCAGAACGACCCGTTACAGATTCAAAAATAACACATGACTAGTTAAACCAGAACGGGTCATTCTGAAGTCAGAACGGGCCGTTCTAACTATATATTTGTCATAAGACTTTTTTTAAGCAAAATAATATTTTTTATTCATTCAACTAAATTACATTTAAAATTTAAGTATAGTTTTTCAATTGATAATGCTTTTCTATTAGAATTAGAGGTTTACATTAATTATATGCGTAAATTTCTAATTCTAATTAGAAAATAATACCAAACATAATTTTCTATTATAAATATAATTTTCTCTCATTTAAATCATTGCAAAAATTTGTTAGTTTTAATTATATATCTCGACATTTTTGTCTTATAAAAATGATGTTACCAAATATTTTTAAATTTGATTTACATTAGTTTATTAATTACTTTTAAGGTGCATAGACTTTCGTGGTTTTGTTGCCAATGCCACAAACATTAGGCGTTCATTAAATGTCATGATGGAAGAACCTTGGAGGAGGCCGGATTGATGTAGCTTCCTTCAAGTC